GGAGAAGGTTCTTCGAGCATCAGCTCCGCTTCCCCATGCCTTAATCAACAAATAAAGTTCCACTCCGCTTTGCACAATCTCGTTTCATTCTCTTGGCACGAACAGCACCGGGCGAGGAAGGGACGCATTAGGGTCAACTGACCCCTTCAAGGGTGGGTCACAGAAGGTCACTGTAATGGTGCCGGGTGCCTTGAGGTGAGGTTTGAAGAGTCCCAGAGTCAGGGAGCTGGGGACAGGTTGGCCTGTCCTGGTCCCTGGTGTCCAGACAAGTGGCCGCAAGTCAGCATCTTGGGTCTCTAAAGGAAACTCTGAATCACCCTGCCAGACAGGGCTTTGCAGCGGCCTCTAAGAAAATCCCCCAAAGCCTGGTAACTGCCACCCTCTCTTCCCCACTCCTCAGCCCCAGTGTCCTTCCCCCGTGTCCTTCCTCTGGGCAGTCGGGGGGCCAGCCCCGGGCCTTTCACCAGCTTATCCACACACCTCCCCACTTCTGAGTTCTCCACCTGAGATGCTGCGTGGAGCAGGATTTAATGGAAGAATCCGAGGGCTTTGGCTCAGAAAACCCTGGGTGCAAATCCTAGCTCTCCCAGTTTCTAGCTGTGAAACCTTACTCCTCCCTGAGCCTCAGTTTGCCCTGTGGTAAAGTGGGGCAAATGCCTAAGAAGATGGTTGTCCAGCTCAAGTGAGCTCATGGGCAGGAGAGGGTTTTGGAAATAGAGTCTGGACCCATGAGAAGCATCTCGCTTATCCCCCTCGAGAGACCCACGGCCACCCCAGGCCCTGCCTGTCCTGCCTTTCCTTTCCAGTCCCAGCTATGCCCCTGCCCACTTTCCAAATCTGCAAAGACACGCGAGGCTCGGCACTGGAGGGGCAGGACAAGGTGCTGGCAGCCAGGACTGGGCGCATCAGCTGGGCACTTGGTTAAATGAGGCTGATTTCTGAGATTAGCCAATGAGACTTTGGCAGGGACACTTCCCCCCCCCGCCTCGAGTGGTGGCCAAGGTCACCAAGGCCTTCACAGGCTGGGCTAAGCTGGACAGACACCAGGACAGGTCAGTCAGGAGGGACCAGGGGTCCTTCCTCCCAAAGGAGTAAGGCCAGAGACTAGGACAGGCCCCAGAGCCAACTCCACTGGACATAGCTTTGTGGGGGTGAGTTCTCTGGGACAGCCAGCAGTTACGCTCAGAGCAGCTGAGCCTGGCCAGCGTTCAAACACCAACTCCCCCACTTCCTGGCATGATCGTGGGCAAGCGACTTCACCTTTCTGAGCCTCTGTTTCTTTCTCTGCAAAATGAGGTAACATCGGCACCCACCTTGCGGAATGCTGAGGATTAAATGCACTTTTAGCATCTGGTTCAGGGCCTGACACTTAGAACGTCTAATAAAACTTGTCTGTCACTTCCGTCAACTTTGGGAAAGAGGGAATGCTGGAAATTCCATCCTTTTGCAGAAGGGAAAAAGAGTTCCAGCCCACTCCTTCTGGGATAAATCAACGAGGGAAATCCAGTGAGGATGGAAGAGAGGAACCCTGCTCCGTGCCTGGCTCAGAAACGCCGGTTCCTGGGTCAGTAGGGAGGTGGTGGGTAACTTAGAGTTAATCACTGGTTTGTGGGACTCTCGCAGAAGTTTTCTGGGAGAACAACTGGGATTGAAGAAGAGGATGTCAGCTACAAAGCTGACAGCTCTAGAAACTAGGAAAATAAGCTGGGCCTGGTGGCTCACACTTTGGGAAGCTGAAGCAGGTGGATCACCTGAGGTCAGGGGTTCGAGAACAGCCTGGTCAACATGGTGAAACCCTGTCTCTACTAAAAATACAAAAATTAGCTGGGCTTGGTGGCGGGCACCTATAACCCCAGCTACTCCGGAGGCTGAGGCAGGAGAATGTCTTGAACCCGGGAAGTAGAGGTTGCAGTGAGCCGAGATTATGCTACTGCACTCCAGCCTGGGCTTCAGAGTGAGACTCTATTTCAAAAAAAAAAAGAAAGAAAAAGAAAAAGAAACTGGAAAAATCTTCAGTGTAGCCACAGTCTCTTCTGCTCCCCCACCTAGAGGGCCGTTATGTTTGACCTGTGTCCTCCAAAAAGATACGTTGAAGCCCTCAGGCCCAGTACCCCAGAACGTGGCCTGATTTGGAAACAGGGTCGTTGCAGAGGTCATCAGTTAAGATGAAGTCAGACTGGAGTAGGGCAGGCCCTTGATGCAGTAGGCCTGGCGTCCTTTTGAGAAGTCACTGTGGTCGGGCGCAGTGACTCATGCCTGTAATCTCAGCACTTTGGGAGTCTGAGGCAGGAGGATCACTTGAGCCCAGGAGTTCGAGACCAGCCTGGGCAACACAGCAAGATCCTGTCTCTACAAAAAGTTTTATTTTTTATTTATTTATTTTTTTTTTTGAGACAGAGTCTTGCTCTGTTGCCCAGGCTGGAGTGCAGTAGTGCAGTCTCCACTCACTGCAACCTCTGCCTCCTGGGTTCAAGTGATTCTTCTGCCTCAGCCTCCTGAATAGCTGGGATTATAGGCATGCACCACGCTTGGCTAATTTTTGTATTTTTAGTAGAGACAGGGTTTCGCCATGGTGTCTAGGCTGGTCTCAAACTCCTGACCTCAAGCAATCCTCCCGTGTCAGCCTCCCAAAGTGCTGGGATTACAGGCATGAGCCACTGCGCCTGGCCTCTACAAAAAAATTCTAAAAATTAGCCAGGCACAGTGGGGTGCACCTGTGGTCCCAGCTACTTGGGAGGCTGAAGTGGGAGGATGGCTGGAGGCTGGGGGGCTGAGGCTGCGGTGAACTGCGATCATCACACACCACTGCACTCCAGCCTGGGGGACAGAGTGAGACCCTGTCTCAAGGAAAAAGATGAAGAAGGAGAAGAAGAGGAAGAGGAAGGAGGAGGAGGAGGAGGAGGGGGAAGGAGAAGGAAAAGACAAAGAGGAGGAGGAGGAGAAGGAAGAAGAGGAGGAGGAAGAAAGAGAAGGAGAAGGGGGGAGAAGGGGGGAGGAGGAGAAGAGGAAGAGGAAGAAAAAGAAACAAGGAAGAAGGAGGCCTCATGGAGACCCATGAAGGAGATGTCTGTGTGACAATGGAGGTGGGGCAGTGGCGGGGGATGCCTCTCTAAGCCAAGGAACACCAAGCGAGAACTACCAGCAAGCACCAGAAGCTTGAAGAGGCAAGGCAGGGTCCTCCCCTACCAAGTTCAAGGTGCCCTGCTGACACCTTGACTTAGGGCTTCTGGTCTCCCGAACTGTGAAGACATTAATGTCTGTTGTTTGAAGGCCCCTGTGTGTGGTGCTCTGTTACCGCCTTCTTGGGGCATCCAGAAGCCCTCAGATACAAGAGCAGTGTCTAAAATGAGAAGTCCCTTCCCAGGGGAGACGGTATGAGGGGAAGGCCATGGGAGGCACTGAGTGGGGTCTGCGTGGCCTGGGCAGGGCCCCATCACCCCGTGCCCCCAACCCCGAGCACAAAGGTGTCTGATCCCCGGTACCTCCTCCTGGGGACACATGCCATGATTCTCTGTGGCCCAGAGAGCAGGCCTCTTCTGAGCCCCAGACAGACACCTTTACAGCTCCACCACAAGGAAGAGTTTTCTAGATTAGAAGGCACTTCATAGATATTTGTTGTGAAAGTGAAAATCAGCAAGGGCTGCGGGGCAGGTTTACTAGGAAGTTACTAACTCCTAAGCTGCAGCCTCTTCCAAGGCTGACACCTTGACCTCCAGCCTCCAGAGCAGAGACAGTAAGTTTCCGTTGTCTAAAGACATCAAGTGTGGTACTTTTTTCCAGCAGCGCTAGGAGAGGGATACAGAGATGGTATCAGGACACAGCCTGCACATGGATTTTGGCCTCAGTAATGCCTGGCTCCTGGATGCCCTGACTCCTTAATGCAAGAACCAAGCTGGGTGGCCTGAGGTCATAGTTTCTTCATGCAGGAGAGGATGCAGTGACCCCAGGAAGGAGGCACAGGTGACGCAGAAACTCTCAGCAGGCCAGGCACGGTGGCTCATGCCCGTAATCTCAGCACTTTGGGAGGCCAAGAGGGGTGGATCATTTGAGGTCAGGAGTTCGAGACCAGCCTGGCCAACTTGACGAAACCCCATCACTACTAAAAATACAAAAATTAGCCAGGTGTGGCTGTGCATGCCTGTAGTCCCAGCTATTCAGGAGGCTGAGGCAGGAGAATCGCTTGAACCTGAGAGGCAGAGGTTGCAATGAGCCAAGATCGTACCACTGCACTCCAGCCTGGGTGACAGAGTGAGACTCTGTGTCAAAAAAAAAAACAAAAAACTCCCAGCAGAGTGGTGGTGGGGAGCCCGCACTTCCGCCCGTGAGAAGCGTAAAGGGAGATGGAAGGGGAGAGAGGAGCTACACACACTCCTCCAGGCTGGGCCTCACACTGGGCAGAAGGGTCAGTGGAGACACTGAGACCGTCAGAGAGACCCCCCCAAGAGCCCCCAGCCTATAGCCCACCTCCCCCTTGCTCAGCAGCAGTGGGCTGCCGCCGCTCCCTTCAGGCTGCAGGTGAAGTGTCCAGAAGGCCCCACATGCCCCAGAATGGGATCTCGAGCTGCCGAGAGGGCTGAGGGCCCAGCAGAGGTCTGGACAGGTGCCTCCGGGCCAGAGGGGAAGGACACGTGGGACTCCATAGCCAGACAGCGGCAGAGCCAGGAGGGGGGCTGCCCACCACGCTTCCAGGCCTCTCTGCACACGGGACAGAACAGGGTGCAGGGCAGGGAGTGTTTGCTGATGAGGGATGCTGACAGACAGCAGGGGCAGATGAACAGCCACAACCCCCGCCCCAGACGGCTGCCGGGCCTCACGCTTGCCATGAGGCTGAGCCAAGTTTCCAAGCGAAACAGCCACACCCAGGTGTCCTTGGAAAGGGACTCTCCTCTCTGCCTCTGTCCAGGGCCTGGCCAGGGGATGTGACCAGTCTCAGATAAGGGGATGTGACTGCTCTCAGATAACGAGGGACCTACGGGGCCAGGAACACACACACGGCCCAGCCTCATCGCTGTGGACGCCCACAGCTGAGAACATTTATTTTCTGCTCCAGGTTCTCCAGGGGGGCCAAAGAGAAGACAAGGTCAGGAGACAGGTGGACTTCCCCAGAGAGGCCGAGTGGGGTGGCCGGGGGAAGGGCCACATCCTCTGGGTCTGGGAGGGAAAAAGCCAGAGACACCTAGGCTCGCCATGGGCGCGGCTGCCCTGCTGGAGAGCTAGAGGAGAGCGCAGGCCCCTCAGAACCTGATGTGGGAGCCTCCCTTCACAGAGGGCATGGAGGTGGCCTTCAGAGGCCTTGGGGGCTGCCCGAAGGAGGAGACAGTGAGCTTGGGGGTTGCTGACCTCTGCAGGGTGGACTCAGACACTGGGGAGGGGACCAAGAGGGCGGAATGGGCCCTGGAGGCCGACTGGGGCCGCAGCAAGGAGAACTGGGGCCTCGGGAAGGCAGGTAAGCTGGAATCCAGCAGCCTGGAGGCTGAGGCAGACACAGATAACAAGGAAGACGGGGAGGAGGTGGCCGTGGGCGTGCTGGCCATGCTATCCAGCGCAGCCTGCTCCCTGCTGGGCACCAGGTCCTTCTGGATGTCGGGGACCACCAGGCGGACGTGCCTGTCCTGCAGGTCGGGGCCCCTGCTGGTCAGGAAGTCGGGCTGCTGAGTGGGCGTCAGCTCGTTGAAGTGCAGGCTTCGGTAGACCTGGGGCGAGATCTGCAGGGGACAGAGCGGGGAGCGGGGACACCCAGGACCAAGAGCAGGCTCTTAGGAAGGAGGCGAGGCCAAGAAGACGTGTCCAGAGGACTGCAGCTGCCACTAACCATGGCCTGTGGGCTCATGCACCCACCCAGCACCAGGCCGGCGCCCAGCCCTGCTTTCCACCCAGCTATGGTGTGTATGGGCATCCTGAGCTGGGCGCGCAGACTGCACGCTTCTGAGCATGAGGCCTCCAGCTGGGACCCTGGGTGAGGCCCCGGTGCAAAGAGCTCCTGGGAGCAATCCATGTCACACCAGCCTCTCCCCAGCCCAGACGGGGAGGCCCTGCAGGCACGTGGCCTTCAGCGTTATCTCATCTATTCTCAAGGGAACCTCACAAAGGAGGGAGCTCCCACAGCACTCCCACAGCAGACAAGGAAGGGGAGCTGGGAGAGGCTGGGATCTGCCCAGGAAAGGGCAGGATGGAGCTCAGATCTGCTCTTTCCAATGTCCTCTGCTCCTTTCTGTCCCCAGTGGAGAGCCGCTCCTTCCACTTACCCTGTCTCTTACTACGTGCCTGGCACGATGCCCTGGTCTGCTGCTGAGCACCATGGTAGCGGGGACATGGGTGGGAAATATGCTAACCAGCAAACCATGGAAAATGCTCGGGAGCCTATAGACAGGGGCTACCCCAGGGGGGACCTTGTCCCACAGGCCCTTGAGGTTTGTCCTCAAGGACAAAAGCTGCCCCTATGACCTCAGCCAGGGCCTTGGCAAATAAACCATATCAGTCTCAACCCAGACCTGTCCATGGCCCAGAATCCTGTTTAAAGGGCAAAGGTTCCTATCCACCCCCACTGAAGGGCCGTGTGGGCACAAGGGTGGCTGCTGGTGAAAACAGGAGCCCCTGGCACCCTGCCCAGCCTGCTGGGGAGCTGCCCCATCCCGCCTCACCTGCTGCTTCATCCAGCCGTATGGCACACTGCTGGACAGGAACCTGGTATTCCGCACGCGTTCCTTGGGCTTATACGCCGCTCCCAGGACTTTGCTCACCTGCAGAAGCCATGCCGAGTGAAGCCGAAGAGTTGGGGGTCCCTGCACGCCTCCCCATGTACCCCTCCCCTCCCAGCCTCACCTGCTTGTCCCCAGACTCCCACTTGCTCCAGCTGTCCTCAATGTCTTCCAGGGGGCGTTCTCCGGCCCACGGGGACACCAGGGCCATCTTCTGCAGCTTGGCCCAAGCGTCTGCCTCCTCATCTGCCTTCCCATGCAGGAGAGCCATCAGTGCCGTCTGCTCTCGCCGCTGGTATATCAGGGCCTCGGCCAGATCCCGCTGCTCCCTAGTGTGGGGGCCTTTCCTTCACAAGATATCCCCCCACCGCAAGGCAGGGCAACCCTCCCAGAAACCCTGAAAGGCCGTCCCCTTCCTGGGCCTGATCCTGTCCAATCTTCCATCCCTCCCCGCAGGCCAAACTCCCCAGAGCTCATCACTGAACATGTGTGGAATCAGAATTTGCAAAGCCTGGATCCAGCTGGCCCAGCAGGTCCTGCCACTCTCCCACCACTCTATCCTCTCCACCATGCAGACCCGACACCCCATCTGGCTTTATCTGGACCTCCCCTTGTGGACTAAACATGCCTGCCCCTGCCCCAGGGAAACCCTGCCTTTGCCTTGTTTGATCTCCCTCCGCAGGACTGTCAACATGTATGCCTTGAAGGAAGCACAGAAGCCACAAAGATTTTGTGGGTGCCTGACAAACTCCTACTTAAATGTCAAAACCCAACTCCAATATCACCTCTCCTGTGAAGCCTTCCTTACTCGATCCACTCAACCATGTGGATGGTCCTCTGAGCTATCCCTGTTCCTAATCCTCTCATTACTTATCACATAAAGCTACAGCCATTAGTGTCTGTCTACCTCGCCGAGTAAACTGTGAGTTCTCTGAGGCAGGACCTGGGTCTGGATGTCTTCTATCTCTAGAACCTAGCATAAAGTCCGGCAGTCAGTAGATCTCAATACATAGGTTCTTGAATGAACCTGAATTACTGGAAACTTGGTCAGGAATAAGGATGGAGTGGACAGAGTGGGTAGGGGATGCACCTGCAGGGGGAGGAATGAGCAGCCAGCAGTCTGCTGTGCCCTGCAAATCAGGGAAGTAACACAAATGTCTGCTCAGGATCAGGGCCTTGGGCTTGGGCCTGAGCACTCCTCTGCCAGGGACCTCTGGCTACGTAGCAATGACCTCTGCAGGGAAGCCAGCTCTAGCAAACCTGGGCCTGGCTCGGGCACCGGGCCCCATACAAGCTCTTGGGTTTTTGTATCTTGCCCTATCACTGCTCAACCTTTCAGCTGAGCTGGGCTAAAATGGGACCTGGGCTCTCCCCCCATAGCTGCCACTTGTGGAGTAGAGTTGCCTGCGACCCTCAAGCCTCTGGCCTTCTGAAGGCCCTCCCTACCCATGCCTAGCTCTACCTGACCCAGGTAAAGGCTTCCCGGGACCTGGGAAGACTCACAACCTCTCCCTCCTCAAGCCAGGGAAGACCAGGCGAGCTGTGCTCACTCACCGCAGCTCCAGATGGGAGGCCTTCCAGGAGGTGCCAGCAGAGCTGCCCTCCTCCTCTAAGCCTGCTCTGCGTTCATGAAGACCAACATGGGCATCCTCTAGTCTTTTCCACATGCTCAGGCCAAATGTTCCTGTGATTTCACCAGACGCTGCTCAGAACGACGACTGACATACCGCCCTCCTCCAAGCCCTCTGCCCCTTACCCTCTCTCCTCGAGGGTCAGCTAGCAACCCCCACCCTCAGGCCCCACGCTCACCCAAATGTTGAGTGCCCACCATACGCTGGGCACAACACTGAGTACTCAACAAATATCTGGATGAGCCAGACAGAAGCCCTAGGATACACTCGGCGCTCAAACCTAAAGCATCCTGCCTACATGTGGGCTGAGAAGGGGGGGTACTACGGCAATGACCGAATGGTCCTCAGCTGGGCTTCGGGTAGCTTGTGTGTAAAATGGCAATGGCATAGAACGCCCAGACCCCCATCAGATGTGAGATTTAGGGTGGTGGGGGAAGGAATGGGCTGGAGTAAAAAGTAGGTAGTGAAAACAGAAAAACTTAAGTCCTGCTCCTGGCCAGGTCACCTGGCCCTAATTGTTTCTTGATATGAATGGTGGCTAATATGGGTATGCGTTTACTTTCTCAAAATCCAAGAAGCTGAACCCTTCTGGTTTATATGGTTCTCTTTACATACAATGCAACAAGTTTATTTTTTTAAAGAGAAAGGAATATGCCTTATCATATATTTGATTTGCAAAAATATACATAGGTGAATAATATTGGGTGGATGGGTGAATGGATGGAAGGACAGTTTGCTGAATGGACAATTGGGCAGACTGTAATATTTAAGCAAAAGCAGTTGCTGTGGCCTCAAACTCCCTCCCCACAGAGCACAAAGGTCATGCCAGCTTATGTTCAGACAGGGATAGAAACAAGAAGGGCCTTGGGCATCACTGAGCTTCAGCAGGATCCATACCAATGGCATCGCCGGAGAGTTTCCAAGCCTTGACATCACTGTCCTGGCCAGCACTGATAACCAGCTGGAAGTTGTCCACATACAGGATGTCTGCCACACTATCCAAATGGCCCTTCCAGGTAATCAGGAGCATCGGGGGAACCAGGGAAATGGTATGACCAGCCACAACCTATAGGGGACAGTACAGGAGAAATACTTACACCAAGACCACTACACAGGCTAATCAGAACACACCCAGGACTGCAGGCAGCAGAACCCAGTTGGAAGCCCTGGGACACGGGCTAGGGTTCTAAATCTGGATACATTCCACATGAACTTGCTTGTGACCTTACCTAGGTCCCAGCGCTTCTCTGGGCCTCACTGGCCCCTTAGGTAAAACCATAAAAAGCACTCGGATATTACTACATGGTTTACCAGGTGCCTCCATACAGATTATTCCGTTTGAACCTCTCAGCCTTACAGGAAGTATATGATTCCCGCTGACTTACAGAGGAGGAAAGTGAGAGTCAGGCATGTTCAATAACTAGCCTAAGCCCACGCAGCCAGAAAGTGATGGGGCCAGGGCAAGGGCCGAAGTCTTCTAAAGCTTTTCATTTGGGCATTGGGAGATGAATAGGGTGAGCAATGGGGTGTTAAATCACATTCACTGAGAGCATAAAACTACTTAACTGGAAAATGAGTGAAAATGACCATTTTTAAATAAAACGAGATTAACAAAGGTGGACTTATTCAGCCATATTCAGCTATGGAAAGTCAGAATAATATACACTTTAAACAAAGCAATGGAAGACAACAGAAAACTCAGAAACCAACCAAAATGTATGTGAAACTTCAGTACTTAGTAAGAGTGGTGATAGAAAATATGACTCAATACAGTAGTGGGATACCTGATGAACTATAAGAGAAACCTAAGTTATCTTTATCTTACAACAAAATGAATACTAGGCGCATTGAAGATTATATTTTCAATGAAATCATAGAATACCTATAAAAGAATGAATCAATGTTTATCTTATCTCTAAGAAAGCGATAGACAAGCAAAGGAAAATATCACAATGGGAAAAAAAACTGACTTGATCACCAAAAAATATAATTTTAAATCATCATAAATAAAATTAACAAACAAATGGCAAATAGGGGGGATATTTGTAATGCATGTGATAGACAACGAGTTAATCTTTTAATATACTTTTATGTTATTTATCTTTTTTAGGGATGGGGTCTCACTACGTTGCCCAGGCTGGCCTCAAACTCTCGGGCTCCAGTGATCTGCCCACCTTGGCCTCCCAAAGGGCTGGGATTACAAGCATGATCCACGATACCCAGCTTCACATATTTTTAAATAATTATATAACATTTTTAGAAGATAGTTACCACAATGGAAAAGTACGCAAAGGACATGAAGAGACAATTCACAAAGTTATACAAAGGCAATAAAATAAGAGAAGATGTCACTATCACTAATAAACAAAGCCATATGAATTAAAATCAAAAGAAACCATTTGCACCTAAAAATCAACCAAAAATGTTTTCCTCACTTAGAGCATGTATTTATTGAATACCTTCTATAAGAAAGGCACTCTAATAGACTCAGAGGATCCTCAGACGAATACCACTAATAAATTATTTAGGTTGTCAAGGATAAAACAAAACAGGCCAATGAAATGCACAACTGTATAAAACTTGTGGAATGTAATTTTGTAGTATACATTAAAGGCTTTAAAATGGCTTATGTTCTTTTACATGCTCTTTCCTTGGGACAAATCACTAGATGTGCAAATAACTATGAACAACAACTAAAAAGATTTGTAAAAGAGAGTATTTGCGCCATCATTTTTACAGACACCTAAACACAACTTTATCAGAACATAATTCACATATAATTTACCAATTTAAAGTGCTCAATGGCTTTTAGTGTATTCAGAGTTGTGAAACGATCACCACATTCTATTTTAGACCATTTCATCACCCCAGAAAGAACTCTTTACCCAGTAGTCATTACCCAATTCCCCCAACTCCCTCCCCCAGCCTCAGGAAACCACTAATCTACTTTCCATCTCTGTAGAAAGTATATTATGGACACTCTGGACATGTCATTTAAGTGTAATCACACAATGTGTGGTATTTTGTGGTTGGCTTCTTTCACTTAGCATGGTATTTTCAAGGTTCATCCGTGTTGCATGCATCAGTACTTTATTTCTTTTTATTATTAAATAACATTTTACTGTATCACCATACCATACTTTAACCATTTGGAAGTTGACAGACATTTGGGTTGTTCCCACTTTTGTATTATAAATAATGCTACCATAAATACTCATGTACAAGATTTTATGTGGACATATGTTTTCATTTCCCTTGGGTATACACTTGGAAGTGGACCTGTTGGGTCATATGGTAACTCTACACTTATATTATCTGTTTTTTTCTTTTGTAGCTTGTTTTTGGTGTCATATCTAAGATACACTGTCTAATTTAAGGTCACAAATATTTTTCCATTTATTTTATTCTAAAAGCCTTACATACTATATATTATATTAACGTTTTGAGGAACTGCCAGACTGTTTTCCAAAGTGACTACAGCTTTCTACATTTTTTTTTTCTTGAGACAGAGTTTCGCTGTTGTTGCATAGGCTGGAGTGCAATGGTTCAATCTTCACTTACTGCAATCTCTGCCTCCCAAGTTCAAGCGATTCTCCTGCCTCATCCTCCTGAGTAGCTGGGATTACAGGCATCCGCCACCATGCCCAGCTGATTTTTGTAGTTTTAGTAGAGACAGGGTTTCACCATGATAGCCAGGCTGGTCTTGAACTCCTGACCCCTCAGGTGATCCTCCTGCCTTGGCCTCCCAGAGTGCTGGGATTATAGGCATAAGCCACCACACCCAGACAGCTTTCTACATTCTATCTAGCAATGTGTAAGAGTCCCAGTTTGCCCACATCCCAGACAACTATTGCTATTATCTATAGTTATCCTGGAGAGTGTAAAGTGGGATCTCATTAAAGTTTTGATATGCATTTCCCTGAGAGCTAATGATGTTCAGCATCATTTAATATACTTATTAGTCCTTTACCATATTTAAATTAATTTATCTTTTTTATGAAGTTGTAAGAGTTCTTCATATATTCTGGATACTAGTCCCTTATCAGATATATGATTTGCAAGTGTTTTCTCTGTGGTTATCTTTTCACTTTCTTGGTGATATCCTTTGCAGCCCTATAGTTTTTAATTTCGACAGTCTAATTTATCTGTTTTTTTCTTTTGTAGCTTGTTTTTGGTGTGATATCTAAGATACACTGTCTAATTTAAGGTCACAAATATTTTTCATCTATTTTTTCTAAGTCTTATACTTTTAGCTCTTACATTTAGGTCTATGATCCATTTGGAGTTAATTTGTGTGTGTGTTATGAGGTAGGAGTTTAACTTCATTCTTCTAATAAAGTTATCCCTATTGTCCCAGCAGGGCATGTTTCAAAAAGAATATTATTTCCCTCCATTTGATTATCTTGGCATTCTTGTCAAAAATCAATTGACCATAAATGTGAGAATTTATTTTTCAACTCTTAATTCCATTCCATTGACTTACAGGTCTTTCCTTACACCAGTATCACGTTGTCTTGATTACTGTAACTTCTTATTCAGTTTTGAATTTGGGAAGTCTGAGTCCTTCAACTGTGTTCTTTCTCAAGATTTTTTTCTTACTTTCTAGATCCCTTGCATCTCCAAAAAGGAAAGAAGGGAGGGAGGGAGGGAGGGAGGCAGGGAGGGAAGAAGGGAGGGAAGAAGGGAGGAAGCAAGCTGGGCACAGTGGCTTACACCTGTACTCCCAGCACTTTGGGAAGCTGAGGCAGGTGGATCACCTGAGGTCAGGAGTTCAAGACCAGCCAGGCCAACATGGCAAAACCCTGTCTCTACTGAAAACACAAAAATTAGCCAGGTGTGGTGGAAGGTGCCTTCCAGCTACTCGGGAGGCTGAGGCAGAAGAATCACTTGAACCTGAGAGGCAGAGGTTGCAGTGAACCAAGATGGCGCCACTGCACTCCAGCCTGAGTGACAGAGCAAGACTCCAACAAAGAAAAAAAAAGGAAGAAAAGAGAAGGAGAGAGGAGAGGAGAGGGAGAGGGAGGGGGAGGGGGAGAGGAGAGGAAATAAAAGACAAAATAAAAGAAAGCAGCTGGAATTTTGATAAAAATTGCATTGAAGTAATTTGGGGAATATGCTATATTAACAACATCCAGTCTTCCAATCAATGAACATGAGATGTATTTCCATTTATTTGGGCATTCTTTCATTCTTTCAATAATGTTATGCAATTTTCAGAGATCAAGATTTGCACTACTTTTCCAAATTTATTCCAAAATATTTTATTCTTTTTGATACTATTATAAGTGAAATTTTTTAAATTTAATTTTCAGATTATTGCTAGTGTATATAAATATATTGATTTTGTATATTTACCTTATATCAAGCAACCTATTGAATTTATTAATTTCAATAATTTTTAATGGATTCTTTAGTTTTATGTATAAGATCATGTCATCTGCAGATAGCGATAGTTAACTTCTTCCTCCCCAATACAGGTATCTTTTATTTCATTTTCTTGCCTAATTGACCTCCCAGTAAAATATTAAACTGGGTAATAAGAGTAAATATTCTTATCTTATTTTTGATTTTACAGGAAAGTAATATTTCAACATGAAGTTTTATGCTACCTGTGAGTTTTCATAAATAGCTTTTATCAGGTTGAAGGAGTTCCTGTCTTTTCTAGTTTATTTAGTGTTTTAATGAAAAAATGTTTAATTTTGTTAAATGCTCTTTTTGCATCTATTGATATAATCATATAGCTTTTGTTTTTTATTCAATTGATGTATTACATGAATTGATTTTGGATATTAAGCCAACTTTGCATTTCGGGAATAAATCTTAGTTGGTCATGATATATAATCATTTTCATATGTTGCTGGTTTCAATTTGCTAGTATTTTGAAGATTTTTGTATCTATATTCAGAAAAATATTAGGTCTGTAGTTTTATCTTCCTGTGATATCTTTATCTGCCTTTGATATCAAGGTAATACTGGTCTCATAGAGAACTCTTTTGGAAGAGTTTGTAAGCAATTGACATTAATTCTTTAAATATTGGGTAGAATTTACCAGTAAACCTACCTGAA